CTGTACAAACTAAGTATTGACTGACTATTATTCCCCTAAATTGATAACATTTGATCAACTTTGCATTTAATTTTTATAATCCTGTTTCAGGATCTAAAAAAAATTTAATATTTAACTAAAGGACAGTTCATCTGAAAAAAAAAATGTAAGTCCTCAAAATTAACTAACATTTTCAGTTAAGAAAACATCTGAAAATAATTGCTAAATACCTCTTTTAGTTACACTTCTTAGCATGCTCTCCATGTAAATAAAAGCACAGAATCACACAGAATCACAGAAGAACAGAATGTTCAGGGTTGGAAGGGCCCTCTGTGGGTCATCTAGCCCACCCCTCCTGCCGAGCCAAGCTCAATGCATTCCAGTTGCTCCCTCACATATAGAGCAACTCCCCCACCTCTCCTTGTTGGCCTGTCTTTCCTAAAGAGTCTGTAGCCATCTATGACAGCATGCCAGTCATGCGAGTTGTCCCACCACGTTTCTGTGATGGCGACCAAGTCGTAGCCGTCCTGCTGTATAATGGCTTCCAGCTCCTCCTGTTTATTGGCCATACTACGTGCATTGGTGTAAACACACTTGAGCTGGGCTGTCAATCTCACCCCTGGCCTTGGCACTCTAAGCCTAGGCTCATCCCTAGTGAGCTGGGCAATATCCCCTTCCCCCTTCGAACCTAGTTTAAAGCCCTCTCAATGAGCCCCGCCAGCTCGTGGCCAAGAATTCTTTTCCCCCTTTGTGATAGCTGAGCTCCACTTGTTGCCAGCAGGCCCGGTGCTGTGTATACCTCCCCATGATCAAAAAAGCCAAAATTTGACCGATGGCACCAGTCCCTGAGCCACCTGTTAACCAGGTGAATTTTCCTGCCCCTTTCAGTGCTGTTCCCTGCCACTGATGGGATGGAGGAAAACACCACCTGCGCCCCTGATCCCTCAACCAGTCGCCCCAGTGCCCTGAAGTCCCTTTTGATGGCCTTGGGACTTCTTTCTGCGATCTCATTGATGAAGAAGTTGAGTAAGACTGGGCCCAGTACTGACCCTTGGGGGACACCACTAGTGACAGGCCTCCAACTAGACTCTGTGCTGCTGATGACAACCCTCTGAGTTCTGCCATTCAGCCAGTTCTCAATCCACCTCACTGACCACTCATCCAGCCCACACCTCCTGAGCTTCCCTAGAAGCATGTTACAGGAGACAGTGTCAAAAGCCTTGCTGAAGTCAAGGTAGACAAGATCCACTGAACTCCCGTCATCTACCCAGCCAGTCATGTCATTGTAGAAAGCTATCAGAGTGGTCAATTTTTAAAGGAAGATTTGAGTTTGACACAAAGACGTCCCCGATGAGCAGCAGATTTGCAGGAAGGCACAGGCAAAAGGCCGGTAAAACGCAGTGCAGGCAGTTCACCGTGTTTGCCACAAGATGGCACGAAACACAAATTATGAGGACGAAAATAAAATTGACAGCACACTATCAGAGATATATTAAAAAAAAAAAGCTACACTGAATGCACGTGTGACTTTTGGCAGGATGTGGGAAATACATGAATGCACACGAATACAACATCATTCTCCAGGCCGGTCAATCTAAAGCTTTTTGTTCATCACAGACACTTAACCAAATCACACCAGCCTGCTCAGGGCTCCAGATTTAAATCACATATGACCATACACAACCGTGCAGTGATCTGGGCTGAGTCACTCCCCGTTACAGACACAGGCAGGGGAAAGTTGATGGGCGAGTGGGTGAGAGGCAGGCAGGAGAGCAAGTGCCAGTGGACAAAGGGCAGATATTAAGGGAGATTTTTGTATAAATTTATACATATGTGTAACACAACAGACCAAGGTACGGATTTCTTCACTGGTGTGCTGATTTCTGAGCTGTTCTGGTGAACTCAAAGCTCTTTTCTGAACTCATCATGTCTGAAAGAGTCTGCCTGAATCTGAGACTTTATGTTAACATACCAAATACCGCCAGATTTGTAACAAAATCTTGCAATTTGGGAGTTTATAGCTGTGCCCACGATAAGCAACGCTATGCAGCACAGGAACTGCTGTTCCAAATCCATTCTCTTTACCCAAAGAACACGGAGGTGAAGGGCTGCAGGAAGGAGACTCGTGTTTCAGGGAAGTGAAAAAAAAAAAAAAAACACCACAGGAAAGTTTACTGCTTGGGGTACTAGCAAAAGGAGGGTCATTATTTCAAACATGAGCAGATCTCAGCTCAGATGCTTTGCATATATGTATGTGCATAGTGCAGAGTGAATATGAAATTAATTCATTTTTTTTCACCAAGCTTTAACAGGAATTTAATATTAGTCTTGAAAACTGGGTCAACTTTCATGTAAATCAGCACATCTGATCACTTTGGATATTTTGTAATTAACTCAGAACAACAATATAGTGTTATATGGAAATTAGAGAGCTTCACAGACTGAGGGATTTTGCGTTGCATGGCTAGCCACATGTCCCACTAATTTCAGTGGACTCAGTCCTATGCATTCAAAAAAGCACCCAAGAAGGCTTGACCAGGCCTGCAGCCCTCCAAAGCTGCCCCACATTGCAGCGGTCTCACTGTTGCAGCAAAAGTTAGATTTACTGTTGGTGCCTGCAACACGTCCAGCATGCCCTAAGAAGCAGGGCTACCAGCCACTGCCTGTTCCCTCAGACAGCAATCCAGGAACAGGAAAGATCTGTCTGCCACTCAGGATGACGCATGGTCAGGACCCAAAACCGTCTGCAGACAGGCAAAGCCTAACATCCTGGAAGATGACCCAGAAGCTCACAAGACGGCGCGATCCTCCTCCTCGCACGGAATGCTTGGCGCACGTCCCACATCCCAACAGCAGCTGTGGCATTCCCAGCTCACAGAATCACAGAATGGAAGGGGTTGGAAGGGACCTCTGTGGGTCATCTAGTCCAACCCTCCTGCCCAGGCAGGGTCACCCAGAGCAGGCTGCACAGGACCTTGTCCAGGCGGGGTTTGAAT